CTACTCAAGGGAGGTAAGAAAGTAAACGGTTAAGCAGCGCAGGGGAAATAACTGGACAAGAAAGCCAAAAAAAGTCATATTAAAGAAAAGACAATATACAACATGCAAAAGAGATGTAACTCTTACGTAAGTAGTTTTACTAGAAATTGACAAAATAAATCATGCATACAGTTGTCATATAGAACAACCGACTTATCATTTTTATAGACGCAAGAGGCTTAACTCTCATCAACTTAACTTTACAAGAAAAGAAAACAAGTATGATTATAAAGATAAAATAAAGAAATTCTTTACTTGGTGATATACCATAAATATAGTCGAATTGAGTTTTTTTATCGTGGTTTTGAAAAATTGACGAGTAAACAAATTGACTCACTGGGTGGGGTTACAAGTTCCCTTGTGTTGCTAAGCAACAGTTTTTGTATTTACATGAAAGATTTTAATTAAGTTAATACTGAATAGTCTGTCTTTACACTGATGGCTATAATAAGCTGATTTTATGGTGATCCTTTTTCAGATATCTTGAGAAATTATTATTGTATCCATTGGCGTCACTAGGTCAGGTGTCACATGGTGCGATAACTTATTGTGAGGAGCTTCAAAATTTATTTATCTACAACTTGTTACTTATTGAAATGCACAGAACTTTATTTCCTCTATAAAGTTGGATTTGTTTTTCAAATGGGTGTCTTCAGGTGCAGTTCGCACTCCCAGGGTATTTTAACATTACACATTGATTTCAGTTTAATTAAAGTTTAGTGACTTGATTGAGTCCACCCAGCTCTAATGGGTACTTGACTCACGTTAGGGAAAGTAAAGGCGGCTGGGCATTGTGCTGACCACATTATCCCTTCTTATGCCGAGGTCACAGAATCAGGTAAACTCTACTTCACTTGCCCTCGTGGAATTTTAGTTTTTTGTACAGAGATGGAGGGTTTTGGTCAGTAAGATGGGTGTGGAGAGCGGCTTTAAGGAGAGGTGTTAATAGTAAATGTGATAAACATGGTTAGGTGCATAACCACGAACCCACCACATATAAGAATAATTACCCCAACTACAATGTAAAATCAAGGTTTTGTAGGGGTGGAAAGGAGGGGGGAGCAACGCTGCGCAGTTGTCTAAAACTTAACTAGATGTTTCAGGTTGCAAAACCTCAACAAACTTGCCTCAAATCACATCTAGCAAAATGTCACGTGTCAACTTAGACCAACCAATTACTGCACATATTGGAGCAAACAAGTCAATTAAAATCATAACACCATTTATCCCCTCCCGCACAAATAGAGTTGTTTCACCACAGTGTGTCTCACGCACACTTTTCTCACACACAAATACTCGACTCACTCTTTCATTCAGTCCACACGAGTCGGTCTTTTTGCGCCTCTACTCCCACACAGTAAAGAAATATTGCGCCTCAATACTCTAATGTCAACAAATATTGCGCCCCAATACTACACCCTAGTCAACAAATATTGCGCCCCAATACTCCACCCTAGTCAACAAATATTGCGCCCCAATACTACACCCTAGTCAACAAATATTGCGCCTCAATACTCCACCCTAGTCAACAAATATTGCGCCCCAATACTCCACCCTAGTCAACAAATATTGCGCCCCACTACTCCACCCTAGTCAATAAATCCGATATCCCCCATCCCTCCCTCCCTGTATAGCTCTATTTATAGCTGCAGAGCGAGACCAGTTTTCTTGACACCGTGTGAGCACTCGGCCACTATTTACGTCCTGCTCACCCGGGCGGGGGTCGAGTTGTGGTTGAACTCACCGCGGTCACGGAACAAGGATGACGTCAGACAGCGGTATACCCGGATTTTTTTTTTTTTTTGCTGTTTTTTTTTTTTCTTTAAGCAGAGGTTTAAGCCTTATGGGAAGTCAGTAATTCGTACATTGTATTGTTGAAGAATAGACAAAGACAAATAGGTGAGTGGAAACAAGGGGGGGGGGGGATTTAATGGTACAGCGATGGAAGGGTAGGTGCTTTTAGAATCTACATGGTTGGTTGAGGGGGGGGGGGGGGGGGAATCAGTTTTTTTAAAAAAAACAACACTCACCATCACGGAGTTGGGTGGGGGGGGGGGGGTGCTGTGGGGGTAAGTAATGACATAAACGTATTCAAAAATAACGTAGAAAGAAAATCTCATTCATTTAATTGGAGCTAAAATTGTCTCTCACAGTTTTACAATCAGCGGTTTGGTCCTACTATGTAGCAGGCTCGATCATATATATATATATATATATATATATATATATATATATATATATATATATATATATATATATATATATATATATATATATATATATTCCATTGAGGGGGTGGTTACAAACGTCCAAACACACAATAACCTAAGCCTCAATAAGAGACTACCCTTTCGGTCACCTAAGAGCTCACTGTCACGACCTAATATAAGATGGTCCCCTCTCCCCCCTCGTGACGTCACAGTATGTCTAGTAATTATGTAATGCCCCTCATCCACGGCAACCAGGTAAACATCCGCATGCACGTGCGTTGTTTGTCGCGTGCTTGAAGAGTGTACACCTTAGCGGGTTTTCCCCTTCAGCAAAGCACAAAAAACTGATGACGAAATGACATGTCAATCTAACCTGTCATAGGCCGTCAAACGTATGGCGGTTCCAAGATGGCTGCCCGGGTTCAAAAACTAGGATTATGTTATTTTGGTTTGAGCATCGGTCAAGGTCTGCTTAGGGTAATATATATATATATATATATATATATATATATATATATATATATATATATATATATATATATATATATATATATTCAGTAACAGGCAAGGTCTGCTTAGGGAAAGACGGACAGATGAGGATCTAGCCAGCGTTAATCAAATCTAAAGCCTAAAGACAACGATAATTGCGACCCAACGAACTAAAATGATACTTTAACCAAAACATGTTGATCATCTTTTAGAAGTAGGTCGATAAACTAAAATCTTTTACTAAGCCTGAAAATGTAGTCTGAATATGTTGCTATAACATGTTGCTGGAACATGTTGCTGGAACATGTAGCCTAAACATGTAGCCTAAACATGTAGCCTAAACATGTAGTCTGAACATGTACCCTAAACATGTTGCTGGAGCGTGTAGCCTGAACATGTAGCCTGAACATGTTGCTGGAGTATGTAGCCTTAACATGTAGTCTGAACATGTAGTCTGAACATGTTGCTGTAACATGTCGCCTGAACATGTAACCTGGAAATGTCGCCTAAATTATTGCTGGAACACACAATAACGCTGGAGCTAGTCTAATCCTATCGATTATCGGGAGCAGCAATATGCGTTTTCCATCGCACACAAAAAATTGTTTTAATAAATTAACATACACTTTACGAAACAATTATTTTTTCACACGATACGACCAACTGGTTTGTATTTCAAATTTCAACATCACAATAATGTGTGGTTTACCCCCGACTATTTGCGTGCTGAAATACTTGAGTTTGCTGTGATAAATAAATAAATATAAGTAAAGAGATATATATGTATATATATATATATATATATATATATATATATATATATATATATATATATATATATATATATATATATATATATATATATATATGAGCAGTATGGCCTTAAGAACACAGGAGCAGTAGGACCTAAAGAACACAGGAGCAGTAGGGTCTAAAGAACAAGCGAGCAGTAGGGTCTAAAGAACACAAGAGCAGTAGGGTTTAAAGAACACAGGAGCAGTAGGGAGTAAAGAACACAGGAGCAGTAGGGCCTAAAGAACAGGAGCAGTAGGGCCTAAAGAACACAGGAGCAGTAGGACCTAAAGAACACACGAGCAGTAGGGTCTAAAGAACACAGGAGCAGTAGGGAGTAAAGAACACAAGAGCAGTAGGGTTTAAAGAACACAGGAGCAGTAGGGAGTAAAGAACACAGGAGCAGTAGGGCCTAAAGAACAGGAGCAGTAGGGCCTAAAGAACACAGGAGCAGTAGGACCTAAAGAACACACGAGCAGTAGGGCCTAAAGAACACAGGAGCAGTAGGGCCTAAAGAACACAGGAGCAGTAGGACCTAAAGAACACAGGAGCAGTAGGGCCTAAAGAACACAGGAGCAGTAGGGCCTAAAGAACACAGGAGCAGTAGGACCTAAAGAACACAGGAGCAGTAGGGTCTAAAGAACGTAGGAGCAGTAGGGGCTAAAGAACACAGGAGCAGTAGGGGCTAAAGAACACAGGAGCAGTATGACTTACACACGAGCCGTAGGACTTAAAGTTTGACTTAAAGAACACAGGAGCAGTAGGGTCTAAAGAACACAGGAGCAGTAGGAGCTAAAGAACACAGGAGCAGTAGGGCCTAAAGAACACACGAGCAGTAGGACCTATAGAACACAGGAGCAGTAGGGCCTAAAGAACACAGGAGCAGTAGGGCGTAAAGAACACAGGAGCAGTAGGACCTAAAGAACACAGGAGCAGTAGGACCTTAATAACACAGGAGCAGTAGGGCCTAAAGAACACAGGAGCAGTAGGGCGTAAAGAACACAGGAGAAGTAGGACCTAAAGAACACAGGAGCAGTAGGACCTAAAGAACACAGGAGCAGTAGGGCCTAAAGAACACAGGAGCAGTAGGGACTAAAGAACACACGAGCAGTAGGACTAAAGAACACAGGAGCAGTAGGACCTAAAGAACACAGGAGCAGTAGGGCCTAAAGAACACAGGAGCAGTAGGGACTAAAGAACACACGAGCAGTAGGACTAAAGAACACAGGAGCAGTAGGACTAAAGAACACAGGAGCAGTATGGGCTAAAGAACCCTGGAGCAGTATGGGCTAAAGAACATTGGAGCAGTAGGGCTAAAGAACACAAGAGCAGTAGAACTTAAAGAACACATGAGCAGTAGGGGCTAAAGAACACAGGAGCAGTAGGACCTAAAGAACACAGGAGCAGTAGGACCTAAAGAACACAGGAGCAGTAGGGACTAAAGAACACAGGAGCAGTAGGACTTAAAGA